TTTAATGTAATCCCTGCTTGGCTACACTCTGTTCTTCCATGTGTAAAAACTAGGAGCTGACAACAGGACACATTTTTTGCCGTGCGCTAGATGGAAAGAAGCCTCTCAGTTTAAACACCAACCGTCCAAAAGGACATATTGCAAAAGATTTTCTACCATGAGGACTAGCGGCTTGCACTCAGGTCTCGATAGAACTTTGCTTTAGGAGGCTAAATGCTCCTTCTCTGTAGATAACAAAGCAAGTTCATCTTTGAAATAGGTTTAAGGGTCCATATTTTTTAAAAAAAATAAAGCAGTAGCTGTAAGAAAAATGCCAATATATATATTTGTGTTATAATGCAAATATAAAATGTAGCGTTAGCTTAGTCCAAATAAACAGTCAATTCCCAAATGTACAAGATTTTTTAAGAAAGGGTTACAGGTTTAGGAAAGGGAGAAGTGTCTAGTCTAGAATTCAGACTAAATTCCATTTTAGCTCCAGCTGTTCTAGACCCACTGAAATCAATGGGTCTCCCATGTGGAAACTCTTGCTCAGCTCATAGATCTCAACAGGACTCAACTGTACATCAAGAGCTAGAATCGGAAGCCGAAAGCAGGCATTCAAATGGGGCTCAATTCAGATTGCCATCCAGCAGTTCCAGAATGGAGCGTGACTCTTTAACCACCACAGTAGCAAGGATACTTGTTTGGCCACCAAACACATGCCAAAACCCACACTACAGTGACACCCTGTACAAGATCAGGCTTCTCCCTTGCCTGTTGTCATGGCCTAAGGCCTGACCAAGAGACCAGTGATTTCAAAAGCTTGCACCCTTGCCTTTTTGCGACTAATACTAGTGGAGTGCTGTGCTGTGGTGTTTTTTTCCTCTCTTTTCCATCCAACTGGATGCAACTCTCTTGCCTCTGGCTTTCTCCCCATGCAAAGAGAGGCCAAATAGTTCTCTGGATCCTGTTCTTCTGAGGAAGGGGGCTCTCTAGGAGAGAGCCAAAGAGGTCCCAAGGAAGCAGTCTTAGCCCATCATAAGGGCCAAGGACTGTCCTGTCGATAGAGATGTAAAATTCCCTAACATTTCTATTTTCCCCCCTTTTCTAGAAAAAAATGGAATTTTTTGGAAATTTCCCATCTCTATCCGTGTAGAAACAGCCTGTCTCTCTCCTGTACCCCCAAAGTTCCTTTAAGACTCCTGGACAGCAAAGCTTTTAAGACCCTCTGAATTTGGGGGGGGGGCGATCTGTTTGTCCCTCTTATGCTTTTCTCCCCCAGCGCCCCCCCCCGACGTCTTTTGCTCCCATCTCCTTCTCCCCTGCTTCTCTGAAGAGTCCTCCTTCCATCCCCAAGTTAAGCCTTTCTTTCCCTCACCGGCTGCCTCCCGGAACCGCAGGGCCAAAGACCCCCCCCAAAAAAACCCGCTCCTTCCCAAACCAGGGAGGAAAGTCCGAACGGAAGCGCCAAGCGCTCGCTTCTTTGACCACTTTGCGGGGGAGGGCTTGTTTGCTGGAAATTCAGACCCAGCCCCACAAACTGGCGGGTCTCCCTTGAGGGTCGAGGGTGCTGTTTTCAAAAAAAGGGGGGTCTTCTCTAGAGCAGATCGAGGTGAGGTACAAAGCCAGCCCCAAGCTGGGGTCCCCTGTTCGCCCACGCCTCTCCAAAGAGCGCACGGGAAGGTAGAGGGGAGAGCGCGCCTCAACAAGAGAGGACTTGGGGGGGCAGCTTCTCCTCCCAATATTTTTAATAACTTAACCGAAATCTGGGGTTTAGTCACCAATTCATGCCCCCCCCCGGCCAGCTTGCGCTTCCTTGACCGAGGAGTCTTCAGCGGCCGGTTAGCGCCGGAAAGACTTTTTTGCGCGTTACCTGGCGGCAGAGCGCAGGACGCGCAAAGGGGCTTTCCTCCTTGTGGAAGCCGTTTGGGTTCCGTTCGCACGTTTTGCACCCAAAGACAAAGTGTCATTTTTTTTGGGGGGGGAGGACAAGAGAGAGAAGAGATGCGCCCTTCTCCAGTAAGCCTGGACAAGCAGCCAAAAAAGAGGGGTGGGGAGAAGAGACATTTCATCCATTCGCTTTCGGGTTGCTAGGGCCAAATCCGGAGGGATCCGAGGCCATCGCCCTGGGAGGACAGAGGTGGAAAAGGAGGAATTTTCCAAAAATTTGGAAGTGAAAGGGGGGGAAATATAGAAACAGGAGACGCAGGAGCGAGGAGAAGG